GACCATGGTGCTGGCATGGTCACGTTCTGGAGGTAGCTCTCTTCCTGGTTCATAGTCGGGGCCTTCTCACTGTCCTCACATGGCAGAAGGGGTTAGGTTCTCTCTGGAGCCTCTTTTATAAGCACACGAATCCCATTCCTGAGGGCTTCACAAAGGCCCCACCTCCTACTATCATCACCTCTGTGGGGTTAGGATTCAACATATGAATTCTGGAGGGAAAACATTCAGACAAAGTACCTCTCAAGGTGAAGGTCCTTTCACTGACTACCCTGACACCTCCCTCACATCCAGGGGAAATCAGGCCCTCTGCAGGGCTGGGGAAGTTAGAAACAGAAGCTGAAGCTTTCCTGTTTTCTCAAAGCCCCACCTCCTGGGGCAGGGGCTCTAAAGTGCTCAGAGGCTCTGCCCTGAGGTGGAAGGGGAGCTGCCTGGAGTGGAAGCAGCTAAAGAATCCACAGTGAGACAGAACTGGGCTAGGTGCTGGCTCCACCACTTACAAATTGTGTCCCTTGGGCCAGTTGCTTCATTTCTGTGCCTCAGTCTCCTCATCTGTACCATGGAGATGAGAGCACCTACCTCATGGGGTTGTTGTGAGCATTAAATGAGTGAAGTGTATGAAGGCACATGGTAGGCACTCGGTACGTGTGACTGACATGTTTGTTGATTTCTGAACCTGCAGGCTTAACCTCCTCGTGCCCCTGGACATAAGAGGAGGGGACATGAGGAACTGGAGCCATCTTTGTTGAGGCGGAACCAGGGCCAAGGAGATGGGCTTCTTGACCCCTCACCTCTCTTTGAGATGCAAGTTCCACTCATCTAAGAATTCATTTTGATCTTGATCCCTACAATAGTTTTAATGATTTCCATTCTTCCTTATGCACCCTTCCCTCCATTCCCACATCTGAAACCCAGCCACCCTCCCTTTAATTATCTGGGAGGCCAGGCTAGGCTGGAGGACTCCTCTGGGATGTGGGACTCGATATAGGCCCCGAGTGAGGGGAAGATTCAAATGAGTAAATATCGGGTGTGTGTTTGCAGGGGGGAGGCTTCCAATGGGAAAAGCCAGCCAGGAGGCATTGGGAAGTAAAAATGTGAAGAGCAAAGTTTTGGGTCAAGTAGATGTGGGTTCAAACACTAGAGCTGTAGGAGCTATGGTAAGTCACCAAATCCCTCCAAGCCTCAGTGTGTCTGTCTGTAAAATGAATATTAAAAGATCTGCTTTCCAGGATTAGGGTGAGGAGAAAGGGAGATAACTTTGGAGGAAGAATCTGGAACTGTGCTTGGCACATAGCGGGGTCTGAAAAATAAACACTGGTCCCTTTCCCTTCACTCCTGCACATGGGCAAGTCCAGCTCAGAGAGGCGAACATGTCACTCAGCAGTTCCACCGTTACAGAGCTGCAAGCATTACAGAGCTGACGGGGGTCTGGGGGTCGTTCCCTTGATCCTAGGAGTCATCCAGCCTGTCCTTGGACAAGACTGTCCTCTGCAGAATTCCTGACCCGTGACTTTTCAGCCTTAGCTTGCATGCCCCACAGATGGGGGCCCATGACCACTTTTTGGCACAGTCTGGGCGGCTCTGATCATTATAGAGGGCTTCCTTTAAAATCTCTCTCCTTGTAATTTCCACCGACCAGTCAGAGTTCTGCCCACAGGGCCTCAGAGAATTCCTAGTCTCCAGAATTCAATCATCAATCCTCTGAGATCTGAAGCAGTGCCTGAGGAGTTAGCTGAAGTCTGAATAGAAGATCCCAACTGGGCAAGGGTTTGTCCAGGCAGTGGCTGAAGAAGGGCGAGAGAAGGGTGGGGGTGAGGGTGGAGGGTGAGGGTAGGGGGCGGACCTCTAGCTTTGCATATCCTGCTATGGGTCAGCCTGCTGAGGTTTTGTTCCAGCAGCTTCTATCTAGCTGGGTGGAGTGGGAGGAGTGTCTAGCATGGGGGCCCGCTCTTGAAATTGGCCAGCTCTCCCCAAGGCCCCCTGCCTGGCCCCTGAACCAGGCCCAGTGGTGTGCAGCAGTCAGGTGGGCTCCCGGCAGCTCCGCTCAGGAAGGCGAGCAGAGCCTGGCGGCCAAGAGCTGCTGAACGGGCGCCCCAACTTCCTCTCTGCTCGCGCCGCCCTCTGCTACCCGCCTCCTCTGCCTGGCGCGGGGCATGTTTTCCACTCGCTGGCGTGCAAGTTCCATCCCGCCGTTTCCTCCTCTTTTCTGGAGTTAAACTTTTCTGAGGACACCATCAGCCCCAGGTCCAGCTCCACTGCAGAAGAAAAGACGGAGGGACCCTTGGAAGGCACAGTCTACAGAGGGCACTTCGGCGGAGCAGCTGCCCCACCCAAGCAGGCTCCTCCCCGGCAGGCCGCACGGTCCCATGTCTGAGCGCTACCCGCAACCCAGCCCCAAGACGGTCAGAGCCTCTGGTGCCTGCGGCTGGCCCTAGGTAAGGAAGAGCCCCTCCCTGGGGTGTGCCAGGTGACAGGGGAATATGACTGGGCCAATCTGAGGCTCCCCAGAGGAATTATCCTGGAGAGAGACCCCTAGCTGAGCCCTCCCACCCCACTCCCCACACTCTGGACAGGAGCTAGTCCTGTCTCAGCCCCAGCCACCTGTCTCCTGAGCTGTTTTTGGAGGTCCCACTCCCAGCCTGGGGGGCAAGGGCAGTAGTCTCCGAAGCTGGCCTGGTCCCTCCTCTGCCCACCAGTGTTCAGGCGTCTGGTACTCCACTTAGTGCAGTTTATAAACCCAGGGCCCCCAACAGGGAGCTCATTAGGAACCTTGAAGCCAAGAGGGAAAGAGGTTGCTTTTAACCCATTCATCCCCAACAGTATTATAAATTCCCTTTTCCAGGGAGTTAGACTGGAGCCCCTGGGCTATGAGTTGGAGAAAGAGTAGGATTCCCCCTCAATTTCCATCTCCCTGGTACCCCAGGCGGTCATCCAGCTCTGCCCTGGCCCATCTGGCAGCCTGGACAGAGACTGAGAAGGGTGGTAGCGCAGAGAGGAGGCACAGTAGGAAATAAGGTCAAGTCTCCTCACTTTAGTTAGCTGCCACCCCAGCCCCCTAGTCCCTGGCTTCCTCTGGCCAATGGACTTTTTAAAAATTTCTTTTTTATTTTATTTCATTTTTTCCATCACCATTTATCTCCTCTATGCCCTCTTCTCCCCCCCCCCCCCCCCCCCCCCCCCCCC